TCTATATATATATATATATAAATGGGTACTTAGAGGTGGAAGGGTCATGAGGTTTTACCGACCCAAGGAAGAACATAACATTGTTCACTTAAATCCTAACTCACGTCTCACTAAGTTGATGAGCTTGGCAGACTTATACGAGTTTTTATATAGTTAGAACTATGAATATTCGCGCCACCTTTTCGTAGCTGGCTTATCTGTTCCTCGGCTCATTTCATCAAACCTAAATTTTAACATGTTTGTTAGGCGGATAATGCAGAATATTCGCATGGGCCGCCATATATGTCCACTGAATTAGCATCAACATCTTGGTATGCAGGAACATTGATACACCCAATTAATATTGTACGATCTTTACTATATATAGCCTTATACGATCAAGACAAGTATCATTTAATAGGAATTTACAAGTAATTCTGACTTTATCTTTTATATCAATACTTAAGTGATAATCATACACCATTATAAAATAAAGATCACGTATAAAGGCTTCCAACTTGTTTGTAGCACAATCCACTTCGAGCGGATGAATAATGATCAATTTATATGTAATGTTATCTATAAGTGCAGTGAGTGGTTCAATATTAATATGTATTTTTATTCTAATACTCTTAACTTTTTTATATAAAATGACTCCATCATTTACCCATGAATGTGGCACTCTTTCCTTAGTTTATCCTTTCCCATATTTTTAGGGTAAATTAAACTGGGTACTTTGCCGCTTTTATTAATTTTCATTTGAAATCTAACTTGTTCGGTTATATTATGCACGCACCTGGTCTTATGGAGAGCTAAAGTAGGCCGACAAAATTTACAACATCTTCCTGCTGCCAAAGCAGGTTCTCTTGGGTATTTATTTCTTCGTCCAGTGAGTATATTGATACATTACCAAAGCCTATCACGAACCTTCCATCTATTTCTTTATCTGCTTTATTCTTATCCGCGGACTCATAAGTGTTATCCATCCTGAAACCTGGCGGATTTATTTCTATTGGCCATGCTAAAGATCTTTTAAAAATTCTAAATTGCGCTGATTTTTCCACTCTCAGTTTAAATGTATGAAACTTTTTTTAGATAATTTATATCCAATTCAGTTGTAGAATCTCTGGAGTGTGCGGTCCGTATTTCATCTGTTATTTTAATCATCAATTGTTCCAGTATTTAGTCACTGGCCCGATGTATCTCTAAATGCCTCGCTGGCGTTGTAAGCAGTGGGGAACACCATATGTGGCGTTAAATATCTTCACAATGTGAAATGTGATGTCACTTGTAATGATCAGAGCTCTCTTTTCTATCATCTTTTATTTCGTAAACCTTAGCTATGCGCCAATCTTTACTGCTCATACTTGCAGATTTCTACCGTCGAAAGTGGGAAAATCGTAATGTTTCTAGACCTTATAATGTGATTCCCTCTCAACCTTTTTGCACCTATATCTTAATCAGTATCGCTAGCACAATTTCTGTTAAATATACCTATTTTGGCGAAACCTGTGGGTTGCAGCTTAATATTTTGAATCTGAGATGCTTTCTCCTAGTCATACTCATGAAGTTTAAACTTAGAACATATGTTTTTGTTCATAAGTAGGGTTCCGAGATTAACAGTAAATCAGTTATTTGATATGTATTCATCTTATTTAGTTTAAAGTGACGAAAAACTGATAGTTGAATTTTCTCACAATGATATGAATAGAGTTGACGTATCCATTGCATTTCACATAACCTTGCTTTCCCAAAAGGTGTTCTCATCCGGGCAGACTGAAGTTTTGACCTCGCTTAGATCGACAGCAACATCCTATCAAACACCCTATCCTACCGACATCCCCAGCGGGAGTCGAATCATTACAATGAAATGTGTAATCACGAAACTTTAACCGCTACGCCACATTGCCACGGATGCCCTTGGGCCACAAGGCAGATGTGAATTTCAGGGAAGGCTGGGTTTTTTAATATTACATTCTTTGGTGGGATTGTCGATGAAGCAAAGTTATATTTACTATGACAATCGACAACATTACTTGTTTTTCATTCACAAGTAGGGTTTAGAGACTACCGCCAAATTAATTATATGGGATGTATTTATCCTATTTCATCAAAGAGGTTTGGTTTTTAATATAGTAGATTGATACTGGAATACCTTTCATTTCATCTGAAAAGGGTGGAAGACATTCGTAAATTAGCTTTTCCGGATACCTTGGACTTATGACTGTTGGATTGTGCGAAGAAGACCTTGGCTCATCGTCCTGCGACCCTAATGACTCCTTACTGTGCTTCCATACGTCATGTGATGGGCATCGTTAAAATCAGAAATTATTAACGAGTCCAAAAATAATCACAAAAAAGTCTTCTTTCTTGGTGTAATGTTTTTTGATGATGATGATTTCTGGCCATGACGATGTCCGTCACATGACAGACCAAAACTCAGCAGGGATGGATCAGGGTTACAGGGCGATCAGTCGAGGGCTTATACACACAATCCAACAGTCACAAGGCCAAGGCAACCCTCCTTCGGTATCTGACGAGGCCAATTTACGACTCCCTCCCAGCCACCTTTCTGAACGAAATGAAAGGTGCTATGTAGTGGATATTTAGACTCTGGATGAAACTTGCTTCTAGATATAAAACGATATAACTTAGAGCCTTAGATCTGCATGCTGAGGCCTACTTTTGTCTCAGCTACATTTAAGTTATGCACATGCAAAAATGTCATAAGGCACTTCTCAGTTATGCTGTGCCCTATATCCTTAATCTACTACATATTCATTTGTATATAAAATTTGATAAAAATTTGGGAGCTGCTCTGTTGTAGTACAATTTACCGGTTTTACGACACGTCTCTAGCTCCATTTAGTTACATTGCAGGCTTAAGGCAGATGATCCTTTCTTGTCATCAAACAACGGCAGACTATTGAAGTGCTGCTGGTATTCATTCAGTTTGCCGCCGTCTTTCTACAACATCACACCTTAGGGTCATGTGGACTGGTGGTAAAAAATCATTTCTGAGCATGCATATTCATGTTTAGAATGGCTCTAAAGGCAAGGCTGTGACATTTGTGGGATCTGGTCTGCGCTCCATCCTTGGTGTTTGCGATGAATGGAAAAGTATAATTTAATGCATTTTTCTTACCAATCGTATGCGTATCACAATAAGAAAAAGGCTGCTACTCAAGCTCTCTCGCTTTGCTATGTAATGCTATCGATGCCTAAACTATAAAGAGCTATTATTTTAAGAGAACAGCTACGCCATCGGCCAATTGGAATTGTAAACTATTTTAATTTGCCTGCACGCCAATACCAGAGCCAGGCCCACAGTTACATTTTTCGGACCGCTTGAGCTTGCCTCTAACCTGGCCGCCATAGCTCCATTGCATGAAGGAGAGGGTATCTAAACTTGAATATTGTTTCTCATGTTTAAAGTGAATGCGGACTTTACTCGCAGCAGGTCCAGCGATCGCATTTTGGGTTTGTTTAGACTTTTCGTTTAGCAACTACTTACAAATATGTCTTCGAGCATTGTTGGCTATATAGTTGTCACCACGACTACATGCGAGTTAGTAAACAATGTTGTAGTCGATGAGATTGGATAGTCGACAATCGAGTTGTAATCTTGGTCGCTTGAGATTATAATGTCAGGCCTCATATATAGTAAACTCTGGTGTATTGATTCAATTTCTCAGTACTTTATTTCTGACGGAATATTCATGATAGTCAAGCTGAGAAGATGATTTTGCGGTGATTTGCATACATAGTTGTTCATGATTGCGCCATGCCCGCGTGACAAAAGGTAATTGTCTCGACACTGCCGTTTTCAATGTGAGGAGTTGCAGACACCTTGATTTTCCTAGGACTTAACTCGGACCAGCAATAAGTCGAGCTGCATGTTCACGCCTTTGCTCGCAAAGGGGAACAATGTCTAGTGGAATCGCTCTGCACGAGGCTCTTATGAGACTAGAATTTCAATGGCGCTAAAGGCGAATTTGTTGCAGCAAAGCTCAGCTAATTCGGGATCAGGAAATACACGGAAAAAAAGCGACATTCTCGCAGTTAATGTTCTGTCGTTCGAGGATCCGGGGCACATGATGTTTACCAGTCGAAAACAGCACCAACAGACTGAGGCATTTGTTCTTTCTCTAAGTCAGCATGAATTCGTTCGCTGTTCGACTCTACCCGACCGGCATCACTCCGGATCAGCCTTTTTAACGCTTTACTTGCACATCCTCATCTTATTTTCATCCAAAGTCGGTTGGATCTTCAAGGAAAAGCAGGACCGCTCTTAGTCGACATAGTTTACTAACCTTGTCGGTAAGTCCACTATCCACACGACCTACACCATTCGTGCTGCATCATAGCTCAGTTTTTATAGTTGCTCAGTCCTTCAAAAAACAAGACGCATATTGTTACAATGACTAAGTCTACTTGAA